ATAAAAGGAAGCCTTGATTTTTTTCTGTCAAAGATGACCTTTTAGTGTTTTTCTATTCTTTGGGTAAATACCCAGCAGTGAGAATACAAAAACACTAATTCAAAGGGATACATGGACCCCTATATTTACAGCAGCATTATTTACAATAGCTAAGATATGGCACAACCCAAGTGTCCATCAATAGATGAAGGGATAAAGAAGATGTGGTGTGTGTGCGTGTGTATACACACAATGGAATGTTACTCAGCCATCAAAAAGAATGACATCTTGCCATTTGCAATGACGTGGATGGAGCTAGAGAGTATAATGCTAAGTGAAGTAAGCCAGTCAGAGAAACACAAAATATGATCCCACTCATACATGGAATTTAAGAAACAAAAGAGACGAGCAAAGGGAAAAAAGAGAGACAAACCAAGAAACAAGACTCTTTTTTTTTTTTTTTTAAAGGTTTTACCTATTTATTTGACAGAGAGAGAGAGAAAGCACAAGCAGGGGGAGCAGCAGAGGGAGAGGGAGAAGCAGGCTGCCTGCTGAGCAGGGATCCTGACGTGCGGCTCGATCCCAGGACCCTGGGATCATGACCTGAACCGGAGGCAGACGCTTAACCGACTGAGCCACCCAGGCACCCCAAGAAACAGACTCTTAACTAGAGAGAACAAACTGATGGTTACCAGAGGGGAGGTGGGGGGGAAATGGATGAAACAGGTGACAGGGATGAAGGAAGGCACTTGTGATGAGCACTGGGTGATACATGGAAGTGCTGAATCACTATATTGGACACCTGAAACTAGTATAACACTAACACTGTAAGTTAACTAACTGGAATTAAAAACTCAAAACAGGGGCGCCCGGGTGGCTCAGTCGTTAAGCGTCTGCCTTCGGCTCAGGTCATGATCCCAGGGTCCTGGGATGGAGCCCTGCATCGGGCTCCCTGCTAGGCACAAAGCCTGCTTCTCCCTCTCCTGCTCCCCCTGCTTGTGTTCCCTCTCTCGCTGTGTCAAATAAAAAAAAATAAAAAATAAAATCTTTAAAAACTCAAAACAAAAGACCTTCTAAAAGACTAATTAACAGGCAGTAGAAGGTGGTGAGGAAGCAACAGCGGCACAGAGAAAACCAAACAAATAAAATTAGGGACATAAATATTCTCCCTGCTCTGGTATCTATCTGACCCCAGCTCAACACTGTTGATCGGACACCCCCTCCCACTTGAATGTCTCGAACGTCACATGCACACAAGGATCAGGGTGGCCCAACACCTTGCTCTAGGGTTTCCCAGAGTGAACACGACTAAAGCCTGGGCAAAAGGAGAAAGCGCACGGGACCATCAGTCCCACAGTCAAGAACTAAATAGAACTGAGTAGAAGATGGTTCCATCTTGGAGAAAGCGCCATCTTGGAGCAAGCCAGCCCTGATGGCTGACAGGAGCACTGTGTGTTCTCTCATCCCATGGCTTCTCTGAAGGGAAATAGGTGGTCTCAAATGATGGACCCTGCAACATCATCCATTGTTTCTCCTGAGGAAGTGGGAGGAAGTGTGGTCTGCTCACGGAGGGGAGACCCAAGCTCAATTTGAAGCCTGGCTTGAAAGGGTCAGCCAAGATTTGAATCTTCTCTCTCCTTCCTGTTCAAGGTCCTTTCTCAGAAAACACAAGCCCTTTGCCTACAGGGGCAGCTTCATCTAGGTAATCTTGCGCCCACTGCAAACTCATGCCAAACCCACATGCTTGGGTTCAAGTGGGGTCCCGACAGAGCCCTCCCGTCTCTAGTCCATTTACTTTCCAGTGCTTGTTCCTCAAGAGTAGGCAGGCTCCCCTATTTTCATTCCACAATGGGCCCCACAATTTATGTACCTAATCTTGTGCATAACCGATTGCCTGGCATACAGCTGGGGCTTAATAGTGACTCCTTTATTACTGTCGGAAATACATTTCCAGACCACTTTCAACTTGCCGTGCAAGCTTACCAGTGGCCTTGTCTCCGCAATGTTTGGAAACCTGAAAAAAATGTAATGTGATGGTCCAGATACTCACTGAGCTCTCACCGTGAGCTAGGCCTGCAAGAGACCCCCTTGGTCAGAGGCTGAAGAGAAGACCGTTCCTGGGGAGCAGGATGGAGTGACATGGAGGGGAAGGTGGAGGGACATCTAGAGGTGTACCTGTGGCGGAGCCCCGAGCTGGCCCTGCGGGTTTGCTCCCGGTGTCTCCCGGGAGCACAGACCTGGGTTTAGGGGGGAAATCCCTCTCTCGTGGCTTCCTGCGGGAGATGCAGGGCCAAAGGTAAAGCGGTGCCAGGTGCTGAAGCCCCCCAGACCTCAGTCCTCTGTGTGGGTGCCATGTGGTCCCCAGCCCCCGTCCACTCAGAGGTGTTTTCTAGCCCCAGACACGGCTGCAGCTGCCAGAAAGCCAGCTTCCGTGGATTCCGGCTCAGCAGCTTCTGCTGGACATGATGTCACGCTTACATCTCTGTGCCTGGCCATCTGGAGGGCTGGTGGGCGTCCAGGAGAGAAGGCACTCTGGGGCTCAGCCACAGCCCATAAGGAAGGGAGGGAGGCGGGAAGAAACCCTTGCATTGGCCAGCGTTCAGTCCCAGGACTGGGGGACACTGGCCCCTCAACCCCGTCTCAGCTCAGATTACTCCGGGAGGAAAGAGCTGCTTCTCAAGAGCAGCACGTGAAAACCCCATTTCCCCGTGAAAACATCGGCCCGTTGTTATCCCAACCTGGCGAACTGCAGCTCGCAGCCTCTAATTATTAAACAATGCCTCTCGGCCAACTCGGCTCCCAGCCCCGACTCCGGCGCTGCCTCCCCGTCCTGCTGGGAGGTCTTCAATTTCACAGCTGGGAGGACCCAGGGAGTGAGCTGGGCACTGGCCCATTCGGCCCAGCGGATCCGCAGAAGCAGGTAAGAGGAAGAACGAGCGCTGAGGTAGCTCATCAGAGCTCAGCTCGAAACGGGGAAAGAAAACGCCAGCTCCCGGGCTGGCCTCAGCTAACCGAGATGCAGGAGGCCTTTTTGTTGGCTCTGCCTGCCGCAGAAGGAACCTTGCTCTTGGGGGCCTCCAGACATGCCCTTCCCTAGCACCTGCCCTCAGAACCAACCCCATGCATTCAGGACCACCCCCTAAGGGCTTAATTAGAAAAATTTTCAAATGGTCTTATTGTGATAAAATACGCATAACACAGAATTTGCTATCTTCAACATTTTCAGGCGTACGGTTCGGTGATGTTCAATGCATTTATAATGTTGGGCGACCAATCTCCAGAACTCTTTTTCATCTTGCAAAACTGAAACTCTATCCATCAAACTTCCTATTCCTCCTCTCTCCAGCTCTACACCCTGTCTCTATGAATTTAACTGCTCTAGGGGCCTCAGATAAGTGGAATCATACCTTATTTGGCTTTTTGTGACTGGTGTATTTCACTCAGCATAACGTCCCCCAGGTTCACCCAGGTTGTGGCCTGTGACAAGATGTCCTTCCTTTATAGGGCTGAATAATATTCCACTGTATGCATAGCCCATATTTTGTTTACCTATTCGTCCATCAAAGGACGCTTGGTTGCTTCCACATTTTAGCCATTATGAGTCATGCTGCCATGAACATAGGTACACACATCTCTTTGAAACCCTCATTTCAATGCTTTTGGGTCTACACTCAGAAGTAGGATTGCTGGAGCAAAGGGTAATTCTGCATTTAGTATTTCGAGGATGCATTTAATATTTCCCACCAACAGTGCACAAGGGTTCCAGTTTCTCCACATCCTGACAATGCTCGTTATTTTCTGTCTTGTTTTGTTTTGGGTAGGAGCCCAAACCTAATGTAACCTAATGGGTGTGCGATGTAAAAAATACTGACATTTTTACGCACAATATTTCCAGTACAGTAAGTAAGTCTGTTGGAGGCGGGAAGCAGAAAAGAAAGCCAGGAAACCTAACTGACAGCCTTCTCAGGCCAAGGGTGCATTCGCGTCTGCCGTCGGCATTTTGTGGAAAGGCTAATCCAGTTTTGTCAACACTGATTGCAGTAACACTTACTGCCTCTGAAAAATAAAGGGGGGGGGGCTACTCGCTCCCAAACCAAGACCACTTGCAAGCGCATCCTCGACCCAGACAAGGAATGAAACTGCAGGCAAAAGACGACATCGGGAAAGGTCTCACAAACACCAGAATCTGTACATTTTATCTAGTTTTGGTACGAACCACTTTCAAAGTAGTGACTTTGGAAGTTTAGTTGAACATTCCAAAGATGCTGTTATTTAGAGCTCTTCCCTAGGACCTCACTTAAGTAGCATTTGGAAAATCAGTCGTGCGAATTCACAGTCGTACGCGGACATGGTTCCCAAAGACTCTTCCCTGCTCCCCAAATCAAATCCGCTCTCAAAGGGTACTACCTATCACCCCAACACTGCAATCCGCAGGGCCCATAGGCTTCAAAAACCACTTCAAAGTGCCTGGAGCCATGGCAACCTCTGGCCAGTGAGCACGAGGCGGCGGGGAGGGGAAGCAGAGCCACTGGGGGAGGTGGTACCTGGAGGCTCCCAGCACTCCCTGGGGTGGGCAAACCCAGATCCAAAGCAAGAACCGGCTCCTGCTCATCACTTGTCCTTGGTGCCTGGTAGGGTACCAGCCGGATTGCAGGCAATCAGAATTACTGAATAGATGTCTTCTCACATGTCCCATTATACATTTAAATCACATCCTGTAAGAGCAGAAAATGCTCTCATAAGGGATCAGTGTGCTACAGAGTACATTTTAACCCTTTGGGGTGGGCGACTGATGCATCATCCACAAGGGTGATGAGGTATGTGTCTGGTGTCTAGTGGTAGCAATGTGCATGTTCTGCGTTTTTTAAAGAGGAGAAAGTTAGGCAGTTGCATTTCCTGGTGCCTGGGGATAAGGTGCCAGAACTTTCCCAGCCAGCTTCAGAGCATCACTGGGCCAGGGGCTTACAGTACGTGGCTCAAGAGATACACCAGAGGGCCTTTCTGGCCCCTCTTAGAGGGGCAGGCTGTCTCAAGCTAACAGAATGGTAAAGTGCTCCTATCTAAAGCTTTACCTCTGAACTCAGGAGAAAAAAAAAGAAAATATATAATTTGAGAAGTAGTTTCCTTAAGTTAATTTTAAAAATTCCTTAAAATTCACAATGGACAGATTCATAGCAAGTCTAATAACATTTTGATATTTTAATCTGAAAGATTAAAATTATCAAGAAACACTTCTGCCTATTTTGTAAAGGGGGGTCTTGGTGTGAATACATAATGCATTCTACTTACATCGTGGAAGTAAAGGAACCCAAGCAAATCAGTTTTTCTCAGAGAGGTTTGAGATATAAGGGAAAAATGAAAGAGCCATAACCATATCTGTTGTGGGTTAAATTGTGTCCCCCAAAACAGATATGTTCAAGTCCTAACGCCTGGTACCTGTACCTGTGAATGCAATCTTATTTGGAAAGACGGTCAGTGCAGGTGTAAGCAAGTTCAGATGAGGTCCCACTGGGCCAAGCTGGGCCCTAATCCAAGGACCGGTGTCCTTATGAGAAGAGGGAAAGAGGGACAGAGGGAGGAGGCCACACGACAGGGTGACAGTGAAGGAGAGGTCGGAGCCATGCGTCTACAAGACAAGGGATGCCAAAGATTGCAGGCCACCACTGGAAGTTAGGAAGAAGGAAGCAAGGCTCCTCTCCTGGAGCCTTCAGAGAGAGCACGGCCCTGCCCACACCGTGATCTTGGACTTCTGGCCTCCAAAACGGTGCAAGAATACATTTCTGTTGTTCTAAGCCCCCCAGTCTGTGGTCATTTGTTACTGCAGCCCTGGCAAGCTAAGATAACGTGACTGCTGCCTGTGTGGAAGGCTGTCTCGTTTCTGTGGTCCGCTGCGGGGCCCCTGGTGTCCCTCGCAGTCTGGAAAAGTCCAGCTCTGTAGTCTAGAAAGCAGCTCAGCTCCTTACTTGCAACAGAATGTGCATGGGAATTCCCCAGGCATCTCTGCTGAGCGCTATTGCCCCAGGAGTGCCCCGGGGCTGGGGCCGTGCACAGCACATGGATGCCTACATGGACTCCCTCCCACAGGGAACTCGGGGTATCCACTCTCCCCCCAGTAGCGTGCTCAAGCCAGTTGGGAGGCAGCCTCGAACACAGGTTAGTTCTTGCCTGGTGAGTGTTTTATTTGGTGCCCAGGAGAGGTAGTAGATGCATTTTCTTAGAAGTGTTAAGACTCTCGGGTAACCAGAATTTTGCTACTTTTATATTAATAATAACAACAGCAACAATTATGGCTAGCACTTACTGCATCCTTACTTTGGGCCAGGCACCGTGAAAAGCACTTCCTGTGCTCACTGAACCCTCATAACTAAGGGTTAGGATCTGTAACAGATCCCCAATTTTACTGATGAGGAATCCAAGGCTCAGAGAGTTCGAGTAAGGTCTGATTTCCAAGCCTGAATTCTTAGCAAACTGTCCTCTTTTCCTCTCCAAAGAGGGACAGGTCTTTCCTCTGTTGCATGTGCAGCTACAGACCAAGTCCAGCCTCACCTGGTAACAAATACAGCTGCATCCACCGGGGGTGTATCATCCTTCCCTCCTGGAACCTGATTGTTGCCGAGGTACCGGGCTCCTCCGTATTCCTCATTCTGCCAGTGACAGAAGCTCTCCAGGGACCGCTCACCGTGGTGCCCAATGGACAATTTGGCCTAAAAGAAATTGGGGTCGGTGGGGGCAGTTAAAGAAGCAAACACCCAGGGAAGCCGGAGTTTATGTTCGGAATATAGTGTGGAGAGAGCTGCTCGATGGGACATCATTCAGTGATGTGCTTCTCCCAAATCCAACCCTAATGCTGGTAGGAAGGTGCCCAGTCCCAGAGAGAGGCCAGGGCCTTATTTGTAAGTTCAAGTGGAAGACTATGTTATTAAAGAAAAATATTCTTTCTTTTCTTTTCTTTTTTTGGCAAACTGAACTGTATACCCAACCAAGCATCGGTCTCTTGTTTTTCAAGTTCATTGCCCGATTCTGCAAGTAACATTATTATATGGGAATGCATTCAACTCAAAGACCAGAAAACACTACTACAGTGAATCCAAATTCAAAAGTATAGCCACTGGTTTCCAAAGACCTCACCATCTAGATTTGCATATGTGAGATGTGCTGGGAGGGCTGGAGGGAGGCACACAGGCTCAGTGCTCAGGGTTCTCTCGAAATTCCAAGCAGAACATGTGCACACCAAGCTTCTAGTAACAATACCTGCCCTCCTCCCATTGGATATCCCCAGTCCCTGACCCAGGGCACACGGTTGCCATCTGCAAAGCCTGGGAGGGCAGATAAGACTGACAACCACCTACACTCCTCCTTAGCACTCCACAGCAACTAGGAAACTTCCAGATCAGTTACGCCATCTATGTGCTCTGGTGGGCGTCCATGGGGACTTACAGGCCGTTGTCGTAGCAGGACGAGCTTGGTAACTTGAATGTTCACCTTACTTCCAAGGCTCTGGTGCTGAAACATATTGTATACCTGTCAAGAGAGAAAAGAGAATGAATGACATAATATAAAAATTAATAAAAATACAGTGGTATCCTGAATGGGATCCTGGAACAGACAGAAGATGTTAGGTAAAAACTAAGGACATCTGCATTAACTATTGACTCTAGTCAATAATAATCAGTCAGAATGCCAAAAAAATAATCCAATGGGCAGAGGACCTGAACAGACATTTTTTCAAAGAAGACATACAAAATGGCCAACAGACACAGGAAAAGATGCTCAATCATCAGGGAAATACCCATCAAAACCACAATGAGATACAACCTTACACCTGTCAAAATGACTAGCATCAAAAAGACAAGAAATAACAAGTGTTGGGGAGGATGTGGAGGAAAAGGAACCCTCATGCACTGTTGGTGGGAATGTAAATTGGTGTAGCTACTGGGGAAAACAGTATGGAAGTTTCTCAAAAAGTAAAAATAGAATTACCATATGATCCAGTAATTCCCACTACTGGGTATTTACCTAAAGAAAATGAAAACACTAATTTGAAAAGATGTATGCACCCCTATGTTTATTGTAGTGTTATTTACAATAGCCAAAAAGGTATGGAAGCAGCCCAAGTGTCGATCGATAGATGAATGGATAAAGAAGTATACATATATACAACAGAACATTACTCAGCCATGAAAAAGAATGAGATCTTGCCATTTGTGACAATATGGATGGACCTAGAGAGTATTATACTAAGTGAAATAAGTCAGAGAAAGACAAGTACCACATGGTTTCACTTATATGTGGAATCTAAAAAATAAAATGAGCAAACAAAAACAGACTCTTAAATACAGAGAATAAACTGATGGTTAACAGAGCGGAGGTGAGTGGGGGATGAGTGAAATAGGTAAAGGGGATTAAGAGGTATAAACTTCCAGTTATAAAATAAAGAAGTCACAGAGATGAAAAATATAGCATAGGAAATATAGTAAGATTGTAATAACATTGTTTGGGGACAGATGGTGACTACACTTATCATGGTGGGCACTGAACAACATATAGAATTATTGAATCATAATGTTGTACACCTGAAATATAACACTGTATGTTAATTATTTCAATAAAAAATAATACATCAATATTGGTCCATTAGTTATACCATACTATTATAAGATGTTAATAAGAGGAGAAATTGTGTAGGGGAACTCTGTACTAGTTGTTCAATTTTTCTATAAATCTAAAACATATAATACAAATGACTAAAATAGAAATTTTTTATAAGATAGAAATTACACTCATTAAAAATTATATTAATTAAAAATATTAAAACCCTGCATTTTTCCAGTACAAAAAAATCTAAAAAAGAATAATTACACAAAATTTAATTTTCAGTGTTCATGAAGTCTTTTTAAAACAAAATACACACACACACGAGAAATATGACCCACATTTTATTTAAAAGGCCTTCTGAGGGGCACCTGGGTGACTCAGTCAGTTAAGCATCCGACTCTTGATTTCAGGTCCGATCATGATCTTGGGGTCATGGGATTGGGCCCCATGTCGGGCTCCATGCTCAGCGGGGAGTCTGCTTGAGGAGTCTCTCTCCCTCTCCCTCTGCCCCTCCCCCCATGCTCACTCTTTCTCGCTGTGAAATAAATAAATCTTTAAAACAAAAAAAGGCCTCTGAGACCCCAAAATTCCCATAAATGTGAATTCCCAAAAGAAATATGCACATGATAGAAAACTCTGAAATCACACACAGAGCTAAGCTGGAAATCAGTTGTTTAAAGAAAAAAAAAAAAGGCATAGAACAGCAGATTCCCATAGAAGGAATGGGTATTAGATAATCCTGATAGAAAACTCAAAACTCCCATTCTGGGTTTTTATGTGGGACATTGAAGGGGACCTTTAAGAAGGGGAAGGTCAATGCCTGTGGCCGTATTTGCCACATGCAGTCCTGTGTAATCTCTAACCCTCATCAAAACCTGTCAAGGTCAGTATCTCCACCACCCTCAGCTCATCAAGAGAAAGCCACCTGTTCAAGACCCACAGCTAGTCAACAATGACCCCAATTCATATGCAGGCTTGTCCAGCCAATAAGGCCATAATCCTCCTTTATGCCTGAAGTCCTCATTCTAACCACAGTGTGTCATGGAGACAGGGTTAGAGTAACAAAAGAGGATTTGTCCCTCTCGGTTTTGCACCTCTTGTTGGTAGAAGGACCTCAGTATCAAAAAAAATCCAAGGAAAGTGTTTCAAGGGGAAGAGAGGGAGGAAATCTCAAACAAGGCAGAGGAATCAAAGTTGACATGGACGGGGAAAGGCCCACTGAATGTGAGAATCCCTGGCTCCCTCTCCTGTAATATGGACAAAGCAGGATGAGGGGGGTATAATGGGATAGATCAGGTAGGTGGTAGAAGAAGATACGGAGAGAACAGGGATGAGAATCTTTCGAACACCTGGCGAAATACTTCTGCTTCATTGTGTCCTGGTTTTTCCTTTGTTTTTTCCAGGTTTATTGAGATGTGATTGATATATAACATTGTATTATTTTTAGGTGTACAACATGATTTGACATATATACAATATACTGCAAGATGAACACCACAAGAAGTTCAGTTAACGCCCATCACCTCGCATAGTTACAATTTGTTTTCTTGTGATGAGAACTTTTAAGATCTGCTCTCTTAGGAACTTTCAAACATATGATCCAGTATTATTAACCACAGTCACCTTGTTGTACATTATATCCCCAAGACTTATTATAAATGGAAGCTTGCACCTTTTGACCCCCTTCACCCACTGCCCACCCGCATCTCTGGCAACCAGCAAACTCTTCTCTGTATCTAGGAAGTTAGCCTTTTTAGATTCCACATATAAGTGAGATCATACAGTATTTCTTTTTCTCTGACTTATTTCACTTGGTTTTGAAACTTTCTTTTTTTTTTTTTTCCTGATAGACACAATCTAGAAGGGAGAATTTTCCAGCAGGGGCATTAAAACTTTCTACTGTGTTCTTTGGTACATCAGCTGTAACATAAAACAACAACCAGAGCAGACTGTAGCCACAGTTAACCAAGGCCACGTGAAGCATACAATGTTTGAGCATCTGTGTGACAAAGGAATTAGCTGTGTCATTGCTTGGATCTTATTTTTCCAGTACAAAAAAATCTAAAAAAGAATAATTACATGGAATTTAATTCTTTGAAAACTATTATTAAAGCAAAAGAAAATCTTTGGGTAACTTAATATTCTTTCCCACAAGGAAAAATAGAACACATTTAGTTGTTCTGTTCTTACTCCACCCCACCCCCCAAATTTATTCCACTAAGAACAAAATAGTAGTCATTTCTTTTCTCTCTCTTTTTTTTTTTTTTACACTGGACCATCTGTAGGCCAATACTGAAGTCATGTCTTAATTACCTATCCCCAAACCTGGGTGAAGAAGAGGAAAACACATAACTTTTTCCTTGTTTTGATATTTTGAGAACCACCCAATGGCTGCGACTCAGATTTTTCCAGTAGGATTGGGCCCAAACTGGAAAACCTCAATTCAAAACATCAAAAATAGGAAGAATGAAAACCTGCAGTTCTGAGGGAGAAAATTCAAGTCACACACGATTTCAAGGTGCAATCTAATCATCGCCTAGAATGTCAACACCAGCCAAAGGCGTTAGAGGATATTATTTAAGGAAGGTTTAAAGGAATAACACATACGCAATTTTCAATGGAACTGTGACATGCCACAGAAAAGCTGCATAAAGAACCTGCATAAAAGAGCGCAAATTTCAGGAAGGAAAAACTATAGGAACAACCTCTCTTGGCAGAACTTTCCATTTCCTCCTCGCTGGGCTGATGACAGTTCTGTGCATTCTATACAACCACAACCCCAAAGGCTCAGTCGCTTCCCTTGGGGCAAATGCTCAAAAAGGAGGGAAGATGGAGAGAAGACAAAGCTTCCTCCTTCAGGGGCTAGGAGAAGGGTGGGGAGATGGGGTGGGGGGGTGGTTTACTGGGTACAGAGTTTCAGTTTTGCAAGATGACAAAGTTCTAGAGATGGGTTGCACAACAACGTGAATATACTTCCTACTGAACTGCACGCTTACAAATGACTAAGACGGTAAACTGAATGTGTATTTCACCGCAATTAGAATTTTCTGAATTAATTTTTTTTGAAAGACGCTTCACACTCTAGCGACATTCTCTAGCAAGCGCGAAGGCAGGCACTTCCCCTCGACGTGTACCTAGGGTGCTCACGTCCTAGAAAGCAGATCTGGGAGCCTGACCTCGGCCAGAGCACCTCGTCACCTGACGTGAGCCGTCCCACGTTCCCACAAAGCTCAGCAGAGCACAGGGCAGATGCACAGGATCTCCCGGGGGGCCCAGAGCCAAGCCCGGCAAGCCAGACGAAAATCTGACAACAGCCACAAACACAAAGCATCAGGCCCCAAAGACATGTACCGAAGTCTCCTCGTCTTTTTTTCCCATGGAAATTCACGCTCAGGAGAAGTCCCGGAGGCGGCGGCCATATGATGTTGAGGGAGACACCTGGTTGGGCAAGGAACAGCCCGGCCAATCGTCTGGAAATTCTGTCTCCGGCATCCAGCTCTGGCTGCGTCCTGGCAAGTGTTCAGAGCCCTGGCTGCGTTTGTCACATTTCCTTGGCAGCCCGGGGGCCAAGCCGGCAGGGAGGAGGGACCAGCTCCCAGCAGCACAATGTGGCTCTCCTGGCTGGGCGACTTGGGGACACGGGCAGGGAGGGGCGGACGGGGCCAGAGAAGCAGCAGCAGGTGACGGGGACACGTGGGGAGGAGCTGTGCAGAGTGCCCACGCAGGGTTCCCCAAGAACACCTGTGCTACTCAGGGCCTCCCCGGGGACAGACAGACTCAAATCATGTCGGGTGCCCATCCGGACCCCAGTACAGGAAAGGACTCTTTCTCCTGGACAGTGCCCCGGAGGGGGGCCCCTGAAGCAGAAGCACCAACATCACCCGGACATTTGCTGGAAATGCATTCTGGAGCCCACCCCAGAACCA